GATGCAGCACCCCGAGGCGCAGCACCTCCAAACTCCGCACCCTCCGACGTAGCACCCCCAGGCTCAACACTCTCAGGCTCAGCACCCCCAGTCTCAGCACCCCCAGGCTCAGCACCCCCATTCTCAGCACCCCCAGGCTCAGCACCCCCAGTCTCAGCACCTCCACGCTCAACACCCCCAGACTCAGCACCCCCAGGCTCAGCATCCCCAGACCCAGTACCTCTAGCAGCACCTGAGTCTATAGCGATCTCACCAAGCACAGCACCAGGGGGTGGGTCTATCTCAGAGACACCTGAGGGAGCAGGACCCTGAGGAGGGAGGGGATCTACCGGAGGGGGACCTGGAGCAAAGAAGAGCGGCGGGGGAGGGAGAGGGGCAGAGCGGTAGAGGAAGAGACGGTAAAAGGGAACCGACTCGTCAAACGTGACGTCCTAAGAGGGGAGGACACGGCGCGAGGTGGGGTGGTAGAACTGCCAGCCAGGCGCGTCAGGGACAAAGCCAAGGAAGACGCAAGGAATGGCGCGGGCAGAGAGCTTGTCAGCGGACGTATCGCGGACAAAGGCACGAGAACCCCAGACCCGGAACACCGACGCATCGCCAACCTTCCCCGTCCAACGCAGTGTGGGCGAGGTCTCCGGCAAGGAGACACGGGGCCAGAGGTTGAGTTGACGCGCAGCGTACCGGACCGCGAACGGCCACAGAAAATGGGGAGCAGCCGCATGGATCATGGAAGTACGAGCGACCTCCATGACTAAGCCAATGCGGCGCTCAGCAATCCCATTTTGCTGCGGGGAGTCCGGAAGCGTGAACGACTGGAGAATGCCCTCCCCACGACAAAAGTCCCGCAAGAGGTCGGAGGAGAACTCACCACCTTGGTCAGAGTGCAGACGTAGGACAGGAAGGTCCGTACTGAACCGCTCGCGGAGCTGGAGACGAACTGCACGGATCCAAGGGATCAAGACATCAACGACCTGACCCTTGCTGCGCAAGGGGAAGACCGTGGTGTACCGCGTGTAGTCGTCAACGACCAGCAGAAAGTAGCGCTCGCGGCTCTGTCCTCTGACGCGGGCTGGGCCCCACACGTCCATGTGGAGAGTCTGCAGGGGAGAAGTCATCGGGGGAAACGAGGAGGAGTGAGGAGCGGCGCACTGCCGCCCCTCGACGCAAGGAAGGCAGGGCGGAGCAGGCGAGGGTGGGAGGGGAGGCAGAGACCTGGGGAGACCAGACACAAGGAGGCGAGAGTGCATGCCACGAAGGCGTGGCAGAGAAGGGCGACCAAGGCGGTGGTGCAACAGAAGAGTCTGGTGCGACAGGAGGCGACACGAGCAAGGGGGTGCTACCTGACCTGACTCGACCCTGGCCGACGAGTGAACGTGGCCAGGTGACGGCCCGTCCGTGTAAACGTGCAGATCAACACATGCTGAACCCCAGGAGTGGTGGTAGTGACCATCGCATCCTGGAGGGCAGCTGTACTCACCAAGTTCGTAGAGAAAGAGGGGAGGTGGAGACCTGACAGTGAGCTGGACAGAATCGCCGGACACGGGAGGACAGTGGAGGAACGGGCAACGACCGGGCCCCAGGATGGGTCAGCCAGTCGGACCGGGACAGGTGCAGGGAGAGGAGTGAGAGTGGTGCTGTCACGAAAGAAACAGCGCGAGGCACCTGAGTCTAGCGTGAAGGTGTGCAAGGCCTCAGCATGCGCAGTACCAGGGAGAGTACCAGACTCACTAGCACCTAGAGCAGCAGCCGCTATACCTAGGTCAGGTGGCACACACCGGTAACAGTCACCCTCAGCACTAACAGACAAAGCATACATAGCAGAAAGGATAACATCAAAGTCTAGTTCAAAGATAGCAGCTCCAGACCTAAGCAGATCTGCCCACTGAGGGCGCTCGACGTCGTCACCAAACTCAGCACGCCAAGCGTCGTCGAGCCGGGAGAAGCAGCGGTGCTGAGTGTGAAGCCTCCCACATATCTGACCAGCACGGTCACCCGTGCGAATGACATACGGGCAGCTATCACTACCCCCAGACGTCCCACGCTGAAACAACCACTCACGAAGCTGCTGGGGTGACTGGGTCTCGCTCCGACGCTGCTGTTGCTGCCGCTGGCCACCTCCAGAACCTCCACACCGAGCTCCAGTCCTACCTCCACCAGTCCCACCGCCGCTACTACCGCCACTCCCACCGCTGCCTCCACCGCCGCCACCAACGCCCCCACTCCCGCCACCACTCCCACCGCTGCCACCACCTCCACTGCCTCCACTACCTCCACTGCTGCCCCCATCACCACTCCCGGTGCCCCCTCCACCACCCCTGCCACCCTTGCCCTTGCTGCTGTGGCGCTTCGTACTAGCAGAAGCAGCTCCGACGTCCTCAGCACCAGGGACGTCTGCAGCAGTAGCAGAGGCGTAGGAGGGGGCAAGGGGGGAGGGGGAGCACCCCTCAAAGAAGGGCGTGCGCGGAGTGCCACGAGCAGCACCTAGACCAACTGCACTAGTCTCAGCTGCGAGGAGGTGCTCCTCGAGTAGGTCAACAGTGAGGGAGGTGGGGTCAAGTGAGAGAAAGTGGTCCCTGACAGAGCAAAGAGATTCAGGGAGGCGAGTGACTATGAAGTAGAGGGTGATGAATATCGGGGGCTGGTTCCTGTCAAGGAACTCAGCAGGGACGGTAGCACGGTAGCAAGCGTCGCTAGTGCGCAGGTGGGAAACAAGGTCCTCTACTGTGGCAAAGGCTGACAGCTCGGGGAACAGGTAGGGCAGAAGCAGGCGGCCGAGAGCAGCAGTGGCAGGCGAGGAGTAGCGAGCAACTACAGCGTCGTACAGTGCCTGTGCTGTCCGAAGTGAGCGCATTCGGCTAACGGCAGGTGGTTGCGAATGGCTAAGCGGGCAGCAGCATCACGAGTAAGCCACTGTGAGCGAGTCGCACTGTCAGCTGTGGCGGGAGGGGCAGTAGCGGCACCTGACGCGAGGTCAAACAGCGAAACACTGTCCTTAGAATCGCTCAGTAGGTACAGCTGCAGATCGTCAAGCCACGTGTCGAACTGAATCGGTCTGCCCTCATGATCGAACGCGAGAACTCGAAGCGAAGCCATAGTGGTGCAGCACGCAGGAGCAACAGTGGCAGCAGTAGCAGTAGCATCAGTAGCAGCAGCAGTAGCAGGGGCCGAGGGGCCGGGGGGGTCAGGAGCAACGAAGGGCCCAGGGGCGATGGGCCGCGGGGCCGAGAACGAAGGGGCCGAGGGGCCTGGGGCCTAGGGGGGGGTCGGGCCGCGGGGCCGAGAACGAAGGGGCCGAGGGGCCGAGGGGCCTAGGGGCCGAGGTGCCGGGGGCCTGGGGGGGGGGGGGGGGGGGGGGGGGGGTCGGGCCGCGGGGCCGAGAACGAAGGGGCCGAGGGGGCAAGGGGCCAAGGGGCCGAGGTGCCGGGGGCCTAGGGGGGGGTCGGGCCGCGGGGCCAGGAATGAAGGGGCTGGGGGCCGAGGGGCCGGGGGCCTAGGGCGACGGGGCCGAGGGGCCAGGGGCGAAGGGGCCGAGGGGCCGGGGGCCTAGGTGCGTCGGGCCGCGGGGCCAGGAACGAAGACGACGGGGGGCCGCGGGGCCTAGGCTAGGGGCGACGAGGCGACGGGCCGCGGGGCCTGGGCCTAGGCTAGGGGCGACGGGGCAACGGGCCGCGGGGCCTGGGCCTGGGCTAGGGGCGACGGGGCGACGGGCCGCGGGGCCTGGGCCTAGGCTACGGGCGACGGGTCGCGAGGGGCCGTGGGGCCGAGGGGCCTAGGCTAGGGGCGACGGGTCGCGAGGGGCCGTGGGGCCGGGGCCTAGGCTAGGGGCGACGGGCGACGGGCCGCGGGGCCTAGGCCTAGGCTAGGGGCGACGGGTCGCAACGGGCGACGGGCCTAGGGCGACAGGTCGGGGGTCGACGGGCCGGGGCAACGGGCCGGGGCGACAGGTCGCAACGGGCGACAGGGCGCGACAGGCGACGGGGGTCGCGACGGGCGACGGGCGACGGTGGGCCGGGCTAGGGGCGACGGGCCTAGGGGCGACGGGCCGGGGCGACGGGCCTAGGGGCGATGGGCCGGGCTAGGGGTGGTGTCGGGCTGGGGCCTAGGGGCCTACGGGTCGCGACAGGAAGTAGAGGCAGCACTAGGGCTGCAGAGGGCTGCTAGCGGGGTAGCGTTGTGGTGGGCTCAAGGAAAAAAAAACGGTCCTAGCGGAGGACCTGCTCTGAAACCATGTCAGAATAATGAATGAGAATTAATGAACTAGCAAAGAGTTGGGTACAAGTACTAACCCTAATTGTGTTGTACCCCTTATGGGCTAACCCACTATAGCCTACACAATATAAGCTACCGGTATATATAAGTTTGACATTGTTCGGACCAAATCCCTCTGCAACCGTCTTCAAGTGCAATACTTTGATGGATATTCAATTAAATGCTGTGGCATGTGTTGAGATCAGAAAGGTCCAACCCAATGCCGTATATGAAGCATCGGTACCGGTATCATCAACGTTGTGGTTGAAAGCCCATAAAGAATCACAGAATCATCCCAAACATTCCTCAAAAGGTGGACAGCCGTGTCGTGTGCTTCAGAATATATCCATCAGCTCCAGCGGAGAAGAACGTCAATTCACTGCCTCCCCACTTGTAGACTTACGGTACTGTGTAAACAATGTCATACACTGAGAACCAGGGCACGATTCTCAACTTTCCAATATCCAGCACTGTTATTGCATGAAAACAACTCTTGCAGGCAAGAGGAGCTGCCAGCAGCCGCACTAAGCAACGAGAACAGTCCAGCTGCTTACGATGGCTGGTTGAGAACTAGATTACGGCTCTTTAATACAGTACTACAGTACCGTAAGTCTGGTACTGTTAGGTATTAAAAACAACACTTGCAGGCGAGAGGAGCTGCCAGCAGCAGCACTTGTAAGCGATGAGAACAGTCCAGCCGCCTGCGATGGCTACGATTCTCTAGTAACACTGGTACCGGCGATGCCTTTCCATTAAAACAGCTCTTGCAGGCGAGAGGAGCTGCCAGCAGCGGCACTTGTAAGTGACGAGAACAGCCCAGCTGCCTGCGACGGCTGGTTGAACATCTCTTGAAGATTTGAAATGTTGCGCGTCACTTGACTGCCGTCGCCGAGAATCGAACCCAGTTTGACCTGCACTCAGAGGAGGGAGGGAGCAACGAGGGTAAACCGTAAGCCGAGGCAGATGCCAAAATAACGAAGGCCGAAGGTGGTAGAAACAAAATACAGAATGCAAGAAAATAAAGAATATCTACAAAATTTCCTTCCAGAGGTAATGACCAGCTCGCATGTAATACCTGACCCATAAGTGACTTGAAAATAGGTGTAGCAGAAAGCCCCGTGGAATCTGCAAACGAGAACGCCCCTCCAAGAGCCCCATCTTCTCCCCACGCACCGCTTCCAACCCCTCCAAACCCACCACCACCTGCTGCTGCTGCAGCTGCCCCTGCCCCTGACCCACTAGGCACTCGGGAGACTGGAGCGCCACTGTTGCTGCTGGAACCAGAAACGGATAGTGAGACGTCTCCAAAGGTGGATGGACGGCGGGGTTTGCCGCCAGGTGCCAGCCCACCATTGGCCAGAAGCGGTGAGCTGGGGGAAGAGGGGGGATAGCGGGAAGAGGTGGAAAAATGGGGGGGGGGGAGGAAGAGAGGGAATGGATGGGTTGGGAAAGGGAGAAAGGAGCAGAAAGGGTGGGATGCAGAATCAGTATCAGCTGGTGATGCTGGCTGGGTCAGAGGGTTAAAGAGCTCTGAATGGAGAATTTCCTCAGAGGGTGGATGTGAGTTACCTTATAGGGAGGATGAAAGCCACCTTATAGGGATGATTTAAGTTACCTGATCGGAAGGAAGGTGAAGCCGGGGACGGTGGGAGCAGTATCGAGAGTGTTGGCGTCTGTGGCGTAGGGATGGCGCGGGGCAGCATCGGTGTAGAGGGGAGTTACCATTGAATCAGGACCACATCCCACTTTACCTTATCGGCAGGAAGGTGAAGCGCGGAACAGTAGGAGCAGTGTCGAGGGTGTTGGCGTCTGTGGCGTAGGGATGGCGTGGGGCAGCATCGGAGTAGAGGCGATGCAGCTGGGCCAGATGGCCGAAGAGCACTGCTGAGCGCAGGTAGAAACGCTGCTGGTTCTGCCACAGGAAGGGCAGATAGCTGGGGAGGGGGGAGAAAGAGGGGGGTGGGATGGAAGGTGGAGAGACAGGGAGAGAAAGTTGTGAGTAAATCAAGAAACAGAGGCAGGGTGCAGCTGGGCCAGATGGCCGAAGAGCACTGCTGAGCGCAGGTAGAAGCGCTGCTGGTTCTGCCACAGGAAGGGCAGATAGCTGGGAAGGGGAAGACAGGGGAGGAGCAGAGAGGGAGGGGTAATGGGGAGAGGGAAAACGTGGGGAGTGTTTGAGAGTGGGTCAGATGGCCTAAGGGCACTGCTGGACCCGAGTGCAGAGTAAAGAGGAAGCAGAGGGCAGAGTGCAGCATCGGAGTAGAGGCGATGTAGCTAGGCTAGATGGCCAAAGAGCACTGCTGAGCGCAGGTAGAAGCGCTGCTGGTTCTGCCTCCTGCAGCTTCTCCAGCAGCACTGCCACTCGTTTCTTCCAGCCTGGCAAGGTCTCATTATGTGCTTTAGGAAAAACCACACTTACGCGGCTCTGTCAATCGGATCCAGCTCCTCCTGCAGCTTCTCCAGCAGCGATGCCACTCGTTTCTTCCTTGCTGCCACCGACCCACCAATGCTCGCTGCTGCCCCTGCACCTGCTCCTGCTCCCCCTCCTGAACCCGCCCTTGCTACAGGTCCCCCTCCTGCCGCTTCCCCTGCCACACCTCCTGCTGCTGCCCCTGCTCCCGCTCTGAGTGCTTCCAGAGGCAGCTCCGCCCCTCCTGACAGCACGTCTGACAGCAGGCGAGCATCAAACAACAGCTGCAGCACTCCCTTCTCTGATGCGCGCCGAGCAGAGGCAATGGCTTCGTAGGCTGCCAAAACCTGTGGGGAGAGGTGGGGAGAGGAGGGGAGAGGAGGTAGGGAGGAGGGGTGAGTGCTTCCTAATGCAGCTTTGCCCCTCCTGAGAGCACGTCTGCAAGCAGGCGAGCATGAAAGAGCAGCTGCAGCACTCCCTTCTCTGGCGATGGCTTCGTAGGCTGCCAGAACCTGGGGGGAGGGGCACACGAGGGAGGGAGGGAGAGGAGCCAGGAGGAGGGGTGAGTGCTTCCAGTGGTATTCTGCCCCTCCTGACAGCCCATCTGCTCCTGCTGCTGCCCCTGGCCGCGCTCTGAGTGCTTCCAGAGGCAGTTCCACTCCTCCTGAGAGCACGTCTGATAGCAGACGCGCGTCAAAGAGCAGCTGCAGCACTCCCTTCTCTGATGCGCGCTTAGCAGAGGCAATGGCTTCATAGGCTGCCAGGACCTGAGGGACAAGTGGGGGGGGGAGAGGAAGTAGGTAAGAGGGGTGAGTGCATCCAGGCTGAGAGCAGGCGAGCATCAAAGAGCAGCTGCAGCACTCCCTTATCTGATGCACAAAGAGAAGAACCAAGCCCCAACCCTGTGATTCTTGCCTGTTTCCTCTCTCTAAGCCCACGGCTACACCCTCCTAGTGCTCGGCTCACCTGCCCTGAGAGTTCCCATGCAAACAGCCTCAGCACGAGGCGGTCAAGGGAGTGGCAGCCCACTCGATGCACATCAGCAGAGGCGGCAAAGAGCAGCGAAGCCACATAGGGCGAGGGGCAGGCCGGGAGGGTCATTCGCATCTCCACCTTGGCCTCGCCCTCCTCCCCCTCCTGCTGCACCACTGTCTCTTCCCAGCCCTGTGGGATGAGAGAACACAGAGGTGAACAGGATGTGGAATGCGGACGAGAACAGGGTGACAGGGGACCAAGGAAAAAGGGGGTTATTAGGGAGACGGGCGAGGGGTAGGCTGGGGGGGTCATTCTTATCTCCACCTTCGCCTCGCCCTCCTGCCCCTCCTGCTGCACCACTGTCTCCTCCCAGCCCTGTGGGAGAGGAGAACATGGAGGGGTACGGGGAGTAACACGTATGAGAGAGAGGAAAGGGGTTGAGAGGAAGGCAGAGGGGCAGGCTGGGAGGGTCATTCGCATCTCCACCTTGGCCTCGCCCTCCTCCCCCTCCTGCTGCACCACTGTCTCTTCCCAGCCCTGTGGAAGAGAGGAGATGGAGGGGATTTGTGTGCAGATGATAGAGGGGCAGCAGTGTGCAAGGAGAGCCAAGAATTAAGTGGGAAATGGGTGAGGAACAGGCAGAGCGGCAGGCCGGGAGGGTCATTCGCATCTCCACCTTCGCCTCGCCCTCCTGCCCCTCCTGCTGCACCACTGTCTCCTCTCATCCCGGCAAGAGAACAGGGTGTGGGATACGGAGGGAAGGAGGCGAGAGCTGGTTCATGCATAAGATAGCGATTCTGGGTAGTGCTGCACGGTGCACAATAGTTGGAGTTCAATAGAAGCGCGTATTTTGAGGGGAGTGGCGGTGGTGAGAGCTGGGTCGTGCTTGAGATTGTGGCGGAAAACTGGGGGGAGATGGCAAGACCACCTAGCTGCACAGCACTGCACCTCTCAAGCTGGGGGAAAGGAGACCTTTAAGGGAAGGACGGCCGTACAAGAGATTCGTACCTTGAGGGGAGTTGCGGTGGTGAGAGCTGGATCGTGCATGAGATTGTGGCTGAAAGCGGAGGCGAGCAGGCGGGTGCTGTGGGTCACCCAGTGCGAGTGGGCCAAGATGCTCAGCCGCCGCAGCTCCCTCTGGAGTACAGAGGATGGTGTAGTGGGAGGGGAGGGGGCGTACAAGGAGTGAGAGATTGTGTCTAGGCAGAGCATCTTGGGAGAGGATGCTGGGGAAGCAAGCAAGATGCATGCCCAGGGGATGCAGCTCCAACATTCTCTTATTTACAAAACAAGAAGCTGAACGCAAACAAAAGTGACTGCAGATTGATGGAGGGGAGAGGGCTAGGGGGGATGGCAGAGTCACGGCAAATGGCGTTACAGCGACTCACTTGAATCTCATGCAGCCGAGCGAATTCAGCCGATCTCGCCGTAACAGCAGCAAGATCCGTCACCCTCCTCCCACCCCTCCTGCCCGACCCCCCTCCCACTCCTCCAAATCCCACACCACCACCACCCATCCAGCTGAACCCACCACCACCACCGCCACCGCCACTCCCACTGCCACCACCCCCCCCTCCTGCCACCGCTGCTGCAATAATACTCCCAACAACTTCCTGGGCTGGCCACTGTAGCACCGGCTCCCCTGCCCTTGCCCCATCCCTCCCAGCATCCCCGTTATAAACCGCCCCAGAACTAGCTTCTGAGGTTGCTCCAGCAGCAGTTGAATCAACCGATGCGGCAGTATCGCCACTGGCTGTAGCGGCAGCAGCTGCTGCTACAGCCGGCCAGGTGGAACTGGGGCCAAGCGCTACAGCTAGGGAGGACGAGCTCTGTGCTACAGCCGCCGCAAGCCGGCCAATCAGGAGAGCCTGTTCAACCGCCACTTGCGCGGATAACCTCCGAGGAGCATTCGCTGCATCTGGACCGTTGGATGGTGATCTTTCCCCTGCTGCTGTTGCTGCCACGCCTTCAGAGCTGTTCTCAACACTGCCATTCTCTCCCTCTCCTCTCCTTCCCCCCTCCGCCCCCTCCGCCCTCTCCACTTGCTCTGCCTGCTGCTGCTTCTGTAGGTCCCCAAGCCTGCTTGCCAGCAGCCTAACCAGCCGCATCACACACTCGTGGCAACGATCCTGCAGGTACGGAGCCAGCTCCTTGGTTCGGGACGCCGCTGAAGCTGCTGAAGCGGCGGCGGCGGAGGCAGGGGTAGAGAAATCCGATGAAGAGGATGAGGAGGAGATGGATTGATGGGCAGAGGGAGCGAGTGCAGAGTGTGGGAGGAGGAGCGTGAGGGCATCTAGCAGAATCTCCTGGATTTTGGAGTCTAGTTGCTGCCATACCACTGCCACCTGTGGCTCATACACCTGTGTACCACGCAAAACTGCCTCTCCATTCCCCCTCCGCCCCTCCTTTCCACCATCTTTCCCACCCTCCTTGCCCCCTCCGCCTGCTCCTCCCGGTCCCCCACCTTTACCCAGCCCCACCGCACCCAACTCCTCTCCCAGGCTGCCCCAAACTGCCTCCCCAACGGCAAAACCCCCTGTTTCTTCGAACCCTGATTGGCCTATAACGTCAGTAAGAGGGGGTAGCCTCGCCCAACCTGCCCTGAACCTCCTGTCTCCTCCTGCCAAACCTGCTGCCTTCTCACTGGCAATAGCACGAGCGGCAGCAGCAACAACAGCAGCACCACCAACAGCGACAGCACCAGCAGCACCAGGAGCACCGCCACCACCAGCAGCAGCAGCAGCGGCATTCTCAGCTGAAACAACCGCTGCCACAGCCACTACATCCCCGACCTCCCTCAACACTCCATCAATCTCCTCCCTCAGCGTCAACCCCGAAAACGCACCATCTATAATCTCCCGCGCTCTAAGTGCGAACGCAGCCTCGAATAACTCGCTCCATAGGTCCTTAGGCTCTTTTAATAGCAGCTCGCAGAGGGCTCGCCAGGGGGAGTCAGGGGGAGATCCGAAGGCTGACGTCAGCCAGTCCAGGCTGGCAGAGAAGATGTCCTTGTTGGCGATCGCTGCACGTGTGGCGGCCTCTGCTTGCGCCAGATGGCGGATCTGGGTGACCCTGCTGAGAAGGTTCCTGGATTCGGCTGGTGGGAAGGTAGTATAGAAGGGGAGGGGAGTGGAGGGAGCGTGGGGAGAGTGGGAGAAAGGAAGAAAGAAACACCATTTGAGGCGCCTCAAAAGTCGGATCTGGGTGACCCTGCTGAGAAGGTTCCTGGATTCGGCTGGTGGGAGGGGGGAAAGGACGGGGAGTGGAGGGAGTGGAGGGAGAGTGGGGAGAGTGGGAGAAAAGGAGAACAAAACACCATATGAGGTGCCTCAAAAGTCGCCTCTGCCACCTCCTTGCTGCTGAGAGATGGCAGTCGGGCTTCCAGAGCGTCCCTGTGTGTGTGCCAGAGCGCGAGCTCCCTGTCGGGGCGCAGTATGGCACTTTCAAGGAAGGCAACCTGGCTTCCAGTGCGTCCCTGTGTTTGTGCCAGAGCGCGAGCTCCCTGTCGGGGCGCGGTATGCCCCTTGAAACAGGGGAGTTAGGCCCCTCTCAAGAACCTCTGGACACCCACAGACAGAGACTCACCAGCAATGTCAGCAGCGCATGCTTTGAGCCAGTTTTGACACGCCTCTGCCACCTCCTTGCTGCTCAAGGAAGGCAATCTGGCTTCCAGAGCATCCCTGTGGCGGTGCCAGAGCGCGAGCTCCCTGTCGGGGCGCGGGATGCCGCCAAACAGCTGTGCCTGCGGTGCTCCTTGCAGCAGCACCCCCAGCAGCACTGCTCTTTCAGCTGAGGAAACCTCCAGGAACAGCTGCCCCGTCTGGCACAGCGTGAGCTGGCGGCGCGTGGTGGGGTGGTGGGGAGGATTTGGGCAATATCAAATTGACTTGGCAGGCACACCTGTCGTTACTGCCATACCTGCACTGAACCTGAATCATAGGAAACTGCTTATGGGGCAACTCGAAAGTGGCTTGCTGGAGCAAACCTCGTGGCGATGCTGACACACTTGATTAAAGCATGGTTACCTACCACCTTGATTCATGACATGCTCTTTTTTTTAGGTGCCTCAAAAATGGCTTTATGAGCATAGCTAATACTACTACCACACCTGGATCGTGGAAAACACTGGTTGGCTGAGCAGTAAAGATAACACATCAGCAAAGCTGACTTGAATAAGATTCAAACGCCGTAGAACAACTTCTTACCTGCTACTGCTGATACATCCGCTACTGCTGGTATACCTGAATCATAGCGACCAACTGGCTGAGCAGTGACGCTAGCGCATCAGCAAAACTCCCACCGGCACCCAGAGCTGAGGTGGCAGAGGCTAGCTGCAACAGGGAGGCGTGGAGGGACGGCGGGCATGAGAGGAGTTGGGAGGGGGTGAAAAGGGGTGGGAGGGGATGGGAGGGGGTGGAAAACGGTGGGAGGGGGAGAAAAAGGGTGGGAGGGGATGGGAGGGATCACTGCCATTGTTGCCGCATACTCTCTCATCCTTGCCCTCCTCCTTTCCACAGACATGCAAAGCAAGAGGGGGAGAAAAGCAGGGGAAGGGTAGAGAAAGGGAAGGAGAAAAAGAGTGGTGAAAGACAGAAAGACAGACAGACGGATGGACGGACAGACGGACGAACGGATGGATGGACAGAAAGACAGGCAAACATACAGCCTTTCTGCCGCTTCCTCTCCCCCTCCTGCTACTTCTTCCTGCGTTCCCCCTATCACTCGCTCCCACATTCAGAAAGTAGATTTTTGAGACGTCTCAAAAATCTACTTTCTACACGTGGCTTCCCCCTATCACTCGCTCCCACATTCTTTATTTTGCCTTCTCCCCGCACTCTTGTTGCAACTTCGCTCCCACATTCTTTATTTTGCCTTCTCCCCGCACTCTTGTTGCAACTTCGCTCCCACATTCTTTATTTTGCCTTCTCCCCGCACTCTTGTTGCAACTTCGCTCCCACATTCTTTATTTTGCCTTCTCCCCGCACTCTTGTTGCAACTTCGCTCCCACATTCTTTATTTTGCCTTCTCCCCGCACTCTTGTTGCAACTTCGCTCCCACATTCTTTATTTTGCCTTCTCCCCGCACTCTTGTTGCAACTTCGCTCCCACATTCTTTATTTTGCCTTCTCCCCGCACTCTTGTCGCAACTTCGCTCCCTCTTGCGCCGGTAGCAATTTGGGAAGAAGCAAAACCAGGAATGTGGGAACGAATGGTAGGAGGAATGCGGGAGGAAGTAGCAGGAGGGCGGGAAGAAGTGGCAGGAGGGCGGGGGGAAGTGACAGGAGGGTGGGAGACAGACAGACAGACAAACACACGCACCTGGAACCGTAAGCGCGCTCTACGGGCGTTGAGGAAGAGCGCGAGGAGGTCGTGGGACGAGAGCTCTTCCATCACTGCCACCGCTACCAGCGCTTCTGCATACTCTCCCACCAAATCTTCCCTTAACATACAGAGAGATGGAGCCACACACACACACACGCACCTGGGACAGGAGCGCAGGCACGCTCTACGGGCGTCGATGAAGAGAGCGAGCAGGTCGTGAGACGAGAGCTCTTCCATCACTGCCACTGCTGCCAGTGCTGCTGGATTCTGTCCCACCCAATCCTCCCTTCACATACAGAGAGATGGAGCCACACACACACACACGCACCTGGGACAGGAGCGCAGGCACGCTCTACGGGCGTCGATGAAGAGAGCGAGCAGGTCGTGAGACGAGAGCTCTTCCATCACTGCTACTGCTGCCAGCGCTGCTGGATTCTGTCCCACCCAATCCTCCCTTCACATACAGAGAGATGGAGCCACACACACAAACACGCACCTGGGAGCGCAGGCACGCTCTACGAGCATCAAGGAAGAGAGCGAGGAGGTCGTGGGACGAGAGCTCTTCCATCACTGCCACTGCTGCCAGTGCTGCTGCATACTCCCCCACCCCGGCTGCAGGAATGCGGGATGCATCATGCAGACACTCCCTGCTCCTTTCAACAATCTGGTCACACGGGGGAAGGGAAAAAATGGGGTGTGTTTGTGTGGGCAGAACAAGGGGTTGTTGGGTCGTTATGTGGAATTCAGTTGTGTGTGCTCCCCCGGCCCTGTTGCAGGAATGCGGGATGCATCATGCAGACACTCCCTGCTCCTCTCAACGATCTGGGACGGTGGGGACGGGAAGGGGATGAGTAGAGAGAAGCATGTAGGCTAACTACGCTGTCGCCTCACACTTATATGTGAACAAACTGAAAAGAACTTTGGGGCGCCTCAAAGATTGTACGAGAGGGAGGGCGCATGTAGAAACTGCCGTCAATTTTGCCATATAGAAACCCGACGAGAGTTGCAATTGAATGCAAACCAAACCAAACCAAACCAAACCAAACCAAACCAACTGCACCGAATCAACATTCCGCCTTGCAACTCGCCTGAGTGCAAAGCCAGCAGAATTGAACTATGATTCCAGTCTGTCCCCTGCTGCTCACCTGCGTGCGAAACGTCTCCACAAGCGGCCACTGGTGCCTGAGCAGAGGGAACGACGCCATCAACCCTTAGCTGCTGCGCCTGCCACCCCCCTGCTGCTGCTCCATCCTCTCCAACTGTTGCTCCTACTGCCCCTGCTGCTCACCTGGGTGCGAAACGTCTCCACAAGCGGCCACTGATGCCGCAGCAGCGGAAAAGACGCCATCAACCCTTGCTGCTGCGCCTGCCACCCTCCCCCTGCTGCTGCTCCATCAGCCGGGGAGGGCGACAGCAGCTGGTGCACCTCCCATGCGCGCATGAACCGCTGCGCAGCTTCCAGGAACATTCGCTCGTCCAGACACCCCCAGATCTTCTCTGGAGTGTCCACCAGGTACTTGACTCTGCTTCCCAGGGCGTACAGGGCCTCCTTGCGCTGTGGGTAAGGGAAAGAAGGGGACAGAGGTTCGTAAGATGGTAACACCAGCACGGTTACCGAAAACACACCCCCGGATCTTCTCTGGAGTGTCCACCAGGTACTTGACTCGGCTGCCCAGAGCGTACAGAGCCTCCTTGCGCTGTGGGTAAGGGAAAGAAGGGGACACAGGTTCGTAAGATGGTAACACAAGCACGGTTACCGAAAACACACCCCCGGATCTTCTCTGGCGTGTCCACCAGGTTCTTGACTTGACTGCCCAGCGCGTATAGCGCCTCCTTGCGCTGTAGTATGCAAGGGGGGGGGGGAGAGAAGGGAGGGGGATAAAGATAACAGGGAACATTGTAACGAGTGCATGGTGAAGCCGACAGTCAACATATCTTCTCTGGCGTGTCCACCAGGTACTTGACTCGGCTGCCCAGAGCGTACAGAGCCTCCTTGCGCTGTAGTATGCAAGGGGGAAAAGAGGGGATACATACAGATAACAGGGAACACTGTAACGAGTGCATGGTAAATCAGACAGTCACACCCCAAAATCTTTTCGGGAGTGTCCACCAGGTGCTTGACTCGGCTGCCCAGCGCCTACAGGGCCTCCTTGCGCTGTGGGTTTGGGGGAAGAAGGGGGAGGCGGAGCACAAGCAGATAACAGGGGAGATTGTAACGAGTATATGGTACGACAGACAGAAACACCCCCACATCTTCTCTGGCGTTTACACTAGGTACTTGGCTCGGTTGCCTAGAGCATATGGCGCCTCCTTGTGCTGTAATGTGCTCATCTCACGTTCGGCATCAGCAGCAGGAGTGCTGGCGGTGGAGATGGTTTTTGCAGCAAAGCGAAGTCCGACACTTGTCATGGGCCTGTAACACGCGCTTGTTACTTGGTAACCACATGGGTGCCCACCTTGCGCTTGGCATCAGCAGCAGGGGTGGTGGTGGCGGTGGTGGAGATGGTTTTGTGCAACAGAGCGAAGTCCGATTCCATAGCTGCCACATTGCGCACCACAGCCTCGCACGACCTGTGGGATGATGATGGATGCGGATGGGTATGGATGGATATGAATGACCATGTGAATGCCGCACAAAACCACACACGGGACGCTGAACTAGCTTTGTGCAGCAGAGAGAAGCTGGACTCCATAGCTGCTACGTTGCATACCACAGCTTCGCAGGACCTGTGGGATGATGGATAGAACTCGCAGGTGTGAGGATAAGAGTCAACACATGTGTGTGTGTGTGTGCCGAATGACAGTTAATACACGCAAACATATGGGACGTGGAGATGATTTTTTGCGGCAGTGCGAAGTCCGATTCCATAGCTACCACATTCCCCAAACACCACCTCGCACGATCTGTGCACATGTGAACGCACAGACATAGATACATGCACACATGGACATGGCACCACACGAGAATAAGAAAAAGAAGCACATGGGGATTTTGAGCGGACTCGATATGCCTCCTACTTGCCGACGCATGACGACCAGGATCAAGCTCGCACACACGCCATTTCACAGATATTATGGTCCCCACGCGTACCTCCGCATGTCGAGAATCGAACCCGCAGATTCGATGAGGTGGCGATAGCTCGCACCAACACGTGCTCGACAGCACGATTAAGCTTAAGCTCGCAGATATGCCATCTCCCAAATGTGTCCTGTCCACACGTACCTCCGCATGTCGAGAATCGAATCCGCGGATTCGATGAGGTGGCGATAGCTCGCGCCGACCAGCTGCCGCAGCTCCTCCTTCTTCTCCTCCACCTCCTTCCTCGTGCGCGCCTCGATCGCCACGATATCCACGATAGAACGCGTCTCGAAAAGCGATTCCGAGTTCCGCGTGCAGCCGTCCTCCACCACCTTCTGTTGGAACTTGCCTCCCCTCATCTTGACGGCTACCAGTCAACCGAAATTTTATGAAACGGCTACCGGTCAGCCGAAACAAGCTAGACGGCTAGCAGTCAGCTGGAAACACAGTCGGCCGGAAACCAGTCAGCTGACTACCGACGAAGCGACAGGTGTGAACGAAACGGCGAGCTTTCACTCTCCTCTATATGCTGAATCATTAACAAAATAAACGGTCATTCAGCTAAACAACGTCCGTATACGGTCAGCTCTGTCCGTCGCTGGCCTTCTGGCAGGTTATTGATAAGACGCTAACAAAGTTAGGTGAAAAAGCTCTGTATTCGCCACTCACATTCCTTTCCGCATCCGTGGCTGGTCAGTGACGTGAATCGCCCTAGATTTACTCCAGCGTACGAATTATATAACAGCAGGCTTCGACGACCGGACGGATAAGCAATCCAGCGCAGCGACGATGCCACTATGCCACTACCGCAGCACATGTTCCGTGCATGTCCACTACTTATTCTACTGGAATCAGGATCCAGGCCTGGCTTGCATGGGAGGGAGAGTGGGATCCAGTGTAGCTGTTGCTACACTTCCTTGGGATTGCCGAGCCTGCTGGCGCGGGGAGAGAGGCTAGGCTGGGTTCCAGAAAGCGCGGAGAGCTGCTGAAGAGATCTAGGGTGCGATAGTAGCGGTGTACTCTTAGCCCTTACGGTTGTAAAAGAAGTATATCTGTTACGGGTGCAATGAATCTAGGTAGCGAGGATTGCCCTAGAGTGTTCAACGAGTACAAAGTATGAGCGAAGGCATGAGCGAATACTTATGTGCGAAAACATACAACGGTTACGCGGTGCGTGCGAGCTAGCTAGTGCTAAGCTGGCATGGAGGTTCGGGCTAGTCCCGAAGCGTAGGCCGACTCGGCTGGGCCAGCGATGCAAGGTTTGGTGAAACAGTGCGCGCGAAGTTGGCGAAGCCCCGTTAGCAGTAACGGGCGAACAACGGCTGCTGCTGTACGCGATGTTGATGGTCGTGATAAGGAATGTCGAGAAAATTCCTTACACTACCCCCCCCCCCTCAAGAAGCCCCCTCCGCTACGCGAGTGCGTGTATATCGCGGAAACCCCAGCTCCTCAGGTACACTTGCAGGGTAGGGTGGTTTTCAATCTTGGCCAGGGGCACCCAGCTATCCTCAGTTGGCGTGCGGTCCTTCCAGCGAACGAGGAACTCGATCCTCTTGATGCCTGTGGGGTGTCGAATTCGATGGCTCATAATCTTTTCGGGCTCAATCATCGGCTCCGATGCAGGGCGAGTCATGGATGGTGGGCGGTGACGAGGCAGTTGGCTTGTTGTTGGGATGTAAGGGCGAAGCAGGCTGACGTGTAATGATGGGCTGATGTACCAGTCTGTCGGTAATAGTAAATGGGCGGTAACTGGGGTGATCATGTGGCTGATTTGGAATGGTCCACAATAGCGTGGTCGTAATTTCGGTACGACGCGCAGTCTTAAGTTCTGTGTGTCGAGCAGTACGTAATCCCCTGACCGGTACGTGACTGGGCGGCGCTGGCGGTCAGCATTTCGTTTTGCGATGACGTTGGCTTTTTTTATTGCTTCTGCGGCTCTGGTGCTGGCAGCTTGCAGAATCTTGGCGAATTGCTGTGCGCGTGGCGTTGGGTTGTCCGGACTCGACGTGGGCATTGTTGGGTTTTGCGCGTAGTTGAGGTAAAATGGGGACTGCTGCGTCGTTGCTGACGTGGCGTTGTCGTATGTGAACTCGATCAGCGGCAGCTGCTGCTCCCATGTTGACGGGTCGTTGCACGTGGCACGAATCAACTGCTCCATCGTCTGATTCGTCCGCTCCGTTTGACCGTCGGTCTCGGGGTGGTACGACGAGCTGAACTGTAGCCTGGTCCCGAACTCCTCCCAGAGGTTCTTCCAGAAGTTGCTGGTAAACTTCGTGTCGCGGTCACTGATAATTGCGGCTGGTATCCCGTGCAGTCGAACGACGGTTGCGATCAACAGGCGAGCGCTTTCTTCGGCTGAAATCGATTTCCTGCACGCAGCGAAGTGAGCCATTTTCGTCAGTCTATCAACGACGACCATTACCGCGTCGTTACCCCCAGGGTTCGAAGGTAACCCCGTGACGAAATCCATGGTAACCTGCTGCCAGGCGCGCTCGGGCGGTGGAATCGGCTGCAAATGACCCGCCTTTCTTTTTCGCGAGCTCTTCATCACCTGACATGTAGGACACGAGCCCACGTGGTGTTGTACGTCGGTCAACAGCTCAGGCCAGTAGTAGTATCGCTGCAGTTGCTGTCGCGTTTTTTCTACCCCGAAGTGACCCGAGGTAACCCCGACGTGTGCCTCCTGCAGTAGCAGTTCCCTCAGTAGTGAGTACGCGGGCACCCAGATGCGGTTGGTTCCTATTTTTACGTAATAGACTCCCTTAGCTTCTGCAAGTTGCCGTGAATGTCCGGTCGTGAAAAATGGGTTGGTGCGATATCCGTGGGTGAATAGGTTTGTTAACAGTGGGTTGGTTTGGGCGAGTAGGATGGCATGAAGTTGGGCGGTAGGGCAGGTGAGTGCGTCGGCGATATTTGATGCGCCTTTTTTGTACGTGATGGTGTAGTGGAAGTTGGACTCCAGATAGTCCAGCCAGCGGATCTGTCGCGGATTGAGATTCGGTTGGGCGCGAAGGTACTGTAGTGCACGATGGTCTGTCCGTACTGTCACGTCGACTCCTGTCAGGTAGCACCGCCACACCTTGAACGCGTGCACGATCGCCAGCATCTCGCGGTCGTGTACCGGGTAGTTGCGTTCGGGCGGGTGCAGTTCGCGGGACTCGTACGCGATTGGCTGGAGGTCGTTCCCGAAGTCCTGCAACAGTACTGCTCCCACAGCGATGTCACTTGCGTCGGTGACGAGCTCGAACGGATGGTGAAGATCTGCGATGCGAAGCACGGGGGGTGAGCACAAAATATTTTTGAGGGTCGAGAAGGCAGCTTGCTCTTTCTCCCCCCACGTGTACTCAACCCCCTTCCTCAGTAGGTCGGTCAACGGAGCAATCAATTTCGCCATATCGGGGACGAACCGACGCACGTAGTTGACAAACCTAAAAAAACTCTGCAGCTCAGTCAAATTTGTCGGCGCGTGCCATGCTTGAATTGTCAAGATTTTTTAAGGGTATATTCCACTCCCTTGGCTGAAATAACGTGCTTGTTGTCGGCCCTGTAAAAACTCACACTTAGAGGCTTTTGTCAGTAGGCGGTTCTCATTCAGTATTTTAAAGACGGCTTCGATGTCCTTTAGGTGCTGTGCTCTGTCGGTGCTGTAAATCAGTATGTCGTCGAGATACACGATGACGCACTTATCTAAAAGCGGGCGGAAGGCTTCGTTCATGGTCATTTGAAATGTGGCGGGGGCGTTGGTCAGTCCGAATGGCATGACGGTGTATTCGAAGGATCCGTAGTGTGTTCGGAAAGCTGTTTTTGGGCAGTCGGGTGGGTTGACGTGGATTTGGTGGTAACCTCCTCGAAGGTCGATTTTCGAGAAAACCCGGGCTGTGCGCAGTTGGTCAATCAGATCGTCGGCTCGCGGGATGGGGTAACGGGACTTGAAGGTAACCCTGTTCAGTGCGGGGTAATCGATGCACATGCGAAAACCCCCGTCTTTTTTCGGTGTGAACAGTATCGGTGTTGCGAAGGGTGACGAACTCGGACGAATGAACTCCTTCTCGAGCAGGTAATCCAGCTGTTTCCTCAGTTCGTCCAGTTCGGGTTGGGTCAGTCGAAACTGTCGCTGTACTGTCAGCTGTGCCCCCTGTTCTAATTCTATCCTGTGGTCATGCGGTCGCTGAGGTGGCAGTCCTGTCGGTAGGTCATCCGGGAAAATCCCACTGTACTACTTCAGTAGCGCTGCCAAGTCATCCGGTACGTCCGCTAGCAGTTTCTGTAAACCCCCCCCTTTGTCTGCTGCCTCGGCTTCCCGAATGTCGACCGCGTACACGCCAGCTCCTGCCGCTACGGCGCGTTTCATCTTGATTGCGTTGACACGCACCGACGAAGACTCAGGCGAGCCCCAGCAAGGTAAGGCGATGTTGTTACCGTTCACTCGCACGGTGCAGTCACCCGTCGTCCAGACGATTCGCGGGTTGTGTCGTCGCAGCCAATCACGGCGGAGTAAAATGTCGGTTCCGTCGAGGGTTGTCTCGAGCATTTCCTGACTAAACGTGAAATTACCCCTCGATCGAATCCGAACTCGGTCCACGCGTTCCCGTATCGCCATTGGCGTGCCATCGACCCGTCTTGCGTCAATCTCAGATAAACACCTGTCCAGTGGCAGTTTCAGTTTCCGTGCTGTAGCAGTGTTGATGAGGCTGTGGCTGGCTCCCCCATCTACGAATATTTTAACTAAGTCTGTCCCAATTTTCCCACTAAGCAGTATGGGGCTGTCTACCGTGGTACCCTCCTTATTCGGCCGGGTGTGGTCGGTTGTGTGAACCGGCACAATCACTCGGTGAGGGTCCGTTGGGTCGGGCGAGCGGCGTGACCTGTCAGTAGAGGGCCCGTCTGCTACTGACTCCCAGCATTTCCCTGCTGCTTGGTCTGTTTCTGCTGCTCAGCTTCCCCCTTTCCCTTGGCGTTTTCCGGGCATTCGCTTTTGCGGTGTCCCGGCCGATTGCACGCGAAGTAGCGACCTTTGAACAGTGCGGCAGCGGCATTCGCGGCGACGGCACGCATCGTAGCGCCCTCGTTCGTCCCACGAGATCGATGCCCCCAGTTGCTGCTACTTCCGTAGGAACCCCGTCTCGGTCGGCGGAAGAAATCAAGTTTCTCCGCCATAGCGAGATGACGGTGACGCCGCGGAGCTGGATTTCCTGAGCGATGTCGTGCTTCAGGCTGCCGATGTAGTGGTCGATGCGCTCAGATTCGTGCATGTAGCCCACCTGCTCACACAGCACAATAAACCCGCTGGTGTAATCTTGGACGGAACCGAGTTGGCGCCAAGTGCGGAGGTTCTGACGCGCCGCGATCAAGCCGCAATTGGCTCAAATCGAGCGCGCAGACCTGCGCACCACGCGTCCCACGTGCAATATTGGGGCACCTCCACGAAATACGACGGCGCCCAGGGTCCGGTTTGTCCTTCCCGTGTCGGTAGAGTCGCGTAGTCCGTCGGCTTCGTGACGATGACACGCCACCAATCCATGGCGGGTCCTCGCAGCAGCGACATGGCGTAGCGGATTTTCGCCGTATCCTCCGAGACGTAGTTGGCGCCGAAGAAAACATTCAACGTGAACAGCCACGCTTGAATGGTAGGACCACCCCGTTGACTCGGGTCAAAGCATGGCAGACGCTGCGGCTTCAGTGGCATCGGCGACTGCAGTGTTGATTCGCCGGCCGGCACAGAAATCGTGACGCAGGGTTGACTCCTGGCCGCATTCGTCGCTTCGGGGTGTGTCGTGCCGTGGTCGTCGTCTCCGTCGTTGCGGACGACGCCATCACTGGCCGCGCTCGCGGGTTGCCCCACACTTCCGTGCTGTGATGTCTGTGGTGCAGGTTGTCCCAGAGTGCCAGGTGGTTGCGATTGTGCTTGCTGTGCTCGTGCGACGTCATTTTGCAGGGACGTGCGTTCTGCCGTCAGCGCTGCGATTTCTTCAGAGCTTTCACGGAGTTACTGCAGTAGTTCGTTCAGACGGTCCTGCGTGAGTGTGGTGACGTCGATGTGTTCAGCCATGTCGAAGAGAGTCGGCTCAGCTTAGTCTAGGCGCAGTCGTGGCTGTGCGCGTTTACGAGAGAACGCGAAGACAGCGGCTCCTAGGTGCTAAGGGGCGTGAGTCCCTTCGAGTGAAAAATCAAAAGTTGATTTCCTGGGGTGCGGAGATGCGCGGCCCGAAAGGAAAGAGGCTCTGATACCAAGTGTTACGGGTGCAATGATCGAGGTAGCGAGGATTGCACTAGAGTGTTCAACGAGTACAAAGTATGAGCGAATACTTATGTGTGAAAACATGCAACGGTTACGCGGTGTGTGCGAGCTAGCTAGTGCTACGCTGGCATGGAGGTTCGGGCTAGTCCCGAAGCGTAGGCTGACTCGGTTGTGCCAGCGATGCAAGGTTTGGTGAAACACTGCGCGCGAAGTTGGCGAAGCCCCGTTAGCAGTAACGGGCGAACATCGGCTGTTGCTATACGCGATGTTGACGGTCGCGATAAGGAATGTCGAGAAAATTCCTTACGTACCCCATGTGAAGTTGGTGACTATTTTAGTGTTATGGATGGACTAAAGGGGAAGCCAACAACCACAACCACATTGATACTGTGTAGAGAAATCAATAATTAGCACCGAAATGACATCCAACGCGCTGGGCGTACGATCAATCCAACATTTCTGCACACCGGCTTCAGAAGAAGATATGGCACCATTATACACCAAAACCCCTGACATCCATGCGCATGTTTCAGCAATTCTATTCGTGTTATTGCATATCAGCTTGAGGAGATAAGAACGGCTGCAGACTGGTGATAGGCCATGTGTCTGAAACATCATGTGCACAAGACTGCAGCAACCAAACGAGTACAAAACGGAGAAACACATAAATTAGAGATCTACAAATATTTCACCAGGATGACAGGATGCAAAACCGAGGGATGGAAGAAAGGAGACATGACAGCTAAATAAAGAGAACACATAAGACTAGAAAGCAATAGACATCAGATTGAGAGTCAATGCCGTACCTGCCCTTGTGCTCGGAAGTACATGAACGGGGTGTAGCGCAAGAAGTTGGAAACTCTTGAGGTGTAGATATCCGCATATCTGATGTAAGATAAGAACACAATTAAGACATCAACAAGTTAGGGGAGAAAAAAATGAGGAAAGGGTAAGAAAGAAACATAAATGTGGAGTACTCTCTTCACGAAAGACAGAATAGTTAGTGTCGCATTGCCAGAATCTTGCTGGGTAATCCACCAACTCACTTCTCTATTTGCCGGGTAATGTGGCTCTTATCCCAAAGACCAGCTCGAGAGAGGTATCCCCATCTGGCCACACACACACACACACACACACACACACACACACACACACACACACACACACACACACACACACACACACACACACACACACACACACACACACACACACACACACACACACACACACACACACACACACACACACACACACACACACACACACACACACACACACACACACACACACACACACACACACACACACACACACACACACACACACACACACACACACACACACACACACACACACACACACACACACACACACACACACACACACACACACACACACACACACACACACACACACACACACACACACACACACACACACACACACACACACACACACACACACACACACACACACACACACACACACACACACACACACACACACACACACACACACACACACACACACACACACACACACACACACACACACACACACACACACACACACACACACACACACACACACACACACACACACACACACACACCACACACACACACACACACACACACACACACACACACACACACACACACACACACACACACACACACACACACACACACACACACACACACACACACACACACACACAACACACACACACACACACACACACACACACACACACACACACACACACACACACACACACACACACACACACACACACACACACACACACACACACACACACACACACACACACACACACACACACACACACACACACACACACACACACACACACACACACACGAGAAAAGGTCGATAAAAGGAAAGGGAGGGCGAGCAACGAGACGTCTTATAAGCAGTTATAACGAGGTCCAAATCAAGTGCTTTCCCCATCAAGCCTTGCCATGATCCACAGCAGCCGCGGCATGCTCCTCACCAGCTCCCCATCCCCGGGGAGAGTAACACCTCCTATCACACCTTTGAACCGCACTGAACCCAGCAGCACACCCACCTGTCGTTGAAAGCAGCTCCGTCCGTCTCGAGCAAGGGAACAATCTCCCCGTCAAGTCTCGCCATGATCCATAGCAGCCGCTGCATGCTCCTCACCAGATCCCCATCCCAGGGGGAAGCAGAACTACTACACCTTTCAACCGCACTGAACCCAACAGCACACCCACCGGTCACTGAAAGCAGCTCCGTCCGTCTCGAGCAAGGGAACAATCTCCCCGTCAAGTCTCGCCATGATCCATAGCAGCCGCTGCATGCTCCTCACCAGATCCCCATCCCAGGGGGAAGCAGAACTACTACACCTTTGAACCGCACTGAACCCAGCAGCACACCCACCTGTCGTTGAAAGCAGCTCCGTCCGTCTCGAGCAAGGGAACAATCTCCCCGTCAAGTCTCGCCATGATCCATAGCAGCCGCTGCATGCTCCTCACCAACTCCCCATCCTCCATCTCCCCCACCGCTGCCGTCTGCGCCGCCTGCCCCTGGGTACGACGCTGCAAGGCCAACCTAAGCTCGTTGCTCGCCCTCCCTTTCCTTTTATCGACCTTTTCTCGTGTGTGTGTGTGTGTGTGTGTGTGTGTGTGTTCTGCTTCCCCCTGGAATGGGGATCTGGTGAGGAGCATGCAGCGGCTGCTATGGATCGTTGCTCGCCCTCCCTTTCCTTTTATCGACCTTTTCTCGTGTGTGTGTGTGTGTGTGTGTGTGTGTGTGTGTGTGTGTGTGTGTGTGTGTTTTCACATAACCAGGGGGTGGTCATGTGAAAAAGTGTATGCACATACGAGTTCCAACTTCCTCGAAACTCAATCGACAAGCTCTTTTTCAGACTTGTGTTGTTTTACTCCCTTTCATGTGCGTCATCTCTTTTTTTCGTATCACCGTCTCAAAAACCTCTTGCACACGTCAGAACAAGTGGAACGCCCTGATGCGTACAGCTCAGATCGAGCCACATTACCTCAGGAGGGAGCCAGTGCCATAGGAGATGTTGGATCGAGTGGTGCAACTGCATGAGTACTGGGAAGAGCAGCGCAGAATCCAAGAAGAAAAACAAGGTTCATATCCTCCTAACTACAGCTACTTTTATCAAGAGTCATCTATTATAACTGAATTATGAGCAGGCACGTACCGGAGTTGGCCTTGAAGCACGGTCGCATGAGCCCATCAGGCGTCACGATCTCATACAGCGGGTGAGCCATGGAGAAGAACTCAGGCTTGCGAGCCGACACAATCACCTGGTGGGAGTGTGGGGGGATGGGGGATGGGAATGAGGGATGGGCGTGAGGTGGGTCAGTGATTGTCGGGTGTCACGATCTCATACACTGGGTGAGCCATGGAGAAGAAGTCGGGCTTGCGAGCCGACATGATCACCTGGGATGGGAGGGGTGGGATGATGGGGGAGAATGCGGGATGGACGTGAGGTGTTGACAGTAGGAGGGTCAGTGCTTGTCTGGTGTTGCAATCTCGCACAGCGGGTGGGCCATGGAGAAGAACTCAGGCTTGCGAGCTGACATTATCGCCTGGTGAGGGGTGGGGGGAACGATGCAAAGGAGGGATGGGCAACGGGGAAAAAAAGAGGGGAGCCATGGAGCTATGGAGAAGAGAGAGACCGCCAGGTCATGTCCTGAGGCAGGAATGGATCAAACGCGTGAGTCATCATGCGGTGGGTGTACTGATAGTCCGAGTTGGTGATCAGCAGCAGCAGCTTAATTCTAGAAGCAACATGCTTGCTTGAAGGAGAATTTAGTATTTACCATGTCAAAGAGAGACCGCCAGGTCATTTCTTCCGGTAGAAAGCGGTTGAACACATGGGTCATCATGCGGTGGGTGTACTGACAGTCCGAGTTGGTGATCAGCAGCAGCAGCTTAATTCTAGAAGCAACATGCTTGCTTGAAGGAGAATTTAGTATTTACCATGTCAAAGAGAGACCGCCAGGTCATTTCTTCCGGTAGAAAGCGGTTGAACACATGGGTCATCATGCGATGGGTGTACTGACAGTCCGAGTTGGTGATCAGCAGCAGCAGCTTAATTCTAGAAGCAACATGCTTACTTGAAGGAGAATTTAGTATTTACCATGTCAAAGAGAGACCGTCAGGTCATTTCTTCCGGTAGAAAGCGGTTGAACACATGGGTCATCATGCGGTGGGTGTACTGATAGTCCGAGTTGGTGATCAGCAGCCGCTTTAGCAGCAGCAGCAGCAGCAGCAGCAGCAGCAGCAGCAGCAGCAGCAGCAGCAGCAGCAGCAGCAGCAGCAGCAGCAGCAGCAGCAGCAGCAGCAGCAGCAGCAGCAGCAGCAGCAGCTTTATAGAGCGATTTTGTGAGGGGAGAACTCACCATGTCAAACAATGACCGCCAGGTCATCTCCTCTGGTAGAAACTGGTCAAACGCGTGAGTCATCATGCAGTGGGTGTACTGATAGTCCGAGTTGGTGATCAGCAGCAGCCGCTTCGCTTTACCAGCAAATTTGAAAATTTGTCAAGGAGAACTTATCATGTCAAACAATGACCGCCAGGTCATCTCTTCCGGTAAGAACCGGTCAAACGCGTGAGTCATCATGCGGTGGGTGTACTGATAGTCCGAATTGGTGATCAGCAGCAGCCTCTTCCCCGCCAGCTTCTGGTCTAGGAGAGCGAGTGGAAGTTCCGGATCCAGCTCTACAAACTTCTCTGGCGAGTTGATGATTTCAGCCTGAGGGGGAGGAGAGAGGATGGACAGTGGTGAGGGGAGGATGGACGGGGGTGAGAGGGGGGAACCGGCATGGGAGTTGGTGATCAGCAGCAGCCTCCTCCCTGCCAGCTTCTGGTCTAAGAGAGCCAAGGGAAGCTCCGGGTCCAGCTCCACAAACTTCTCTGGAGAGTTGATGATTTCAGCCTGAGGGGGAGGGGAGAGGATGGGTAGGGTGAGTTGGTGGATGGGCAGGGTTGAGAGAGGGGGTTGCCAGTTGGGAGTTGGTGATCTCCGCCTGTGGTGATGAGCAGCAGCCGCTTCCCCCGCCAGCTTCTGGTCTAAGAGCGCCAGGGGAAGTTCTGGGTGTAACTCCACAAACTTCTCTGGCGAGTTGATGATCTCCGCCTGTGGGAGAGGTGGGTTCAGATGGGTTTGAATGGGTTCAGACGTGGTCCAGCTCCACAAAATTCTCTGGCAAGTTGATGATCTCCGCCTGGTGGGGAGGGGAGGGGGAGGAGGGGCCGGTTTGGATGGGATTGAGATATATTCAGTTGGGTTCAGATGTGGTTCTGGTCCAGGAGAGCCAGGGGCAGCTCCGGGTGCAGCTCTACGAACTTTTCCGGGGGGTTGATAATTTCCGCCTGTTGGGGATAGGAAGGCAAGGGTAGTTCAGCATGGATTGCAACAGGTTCAACAGCAGTTTAGGGTTCAATGGGTTTAGGGTTCACTGGGTTTAGGGTTCACTGGGTTTAGGGTTCATTGGATTTAGGGTTTAGGGTTCAATGGGTTTAGGGTTTAGGGTTCAATGGGTTTAGGGTTCAGGGTTCAATGGGTTTAGGGTTTAGGGTTCAATGGGTTTAGGGTTTAGGGTTCAATGGGTTTAGGGTTTAGGGTTCAATGGGTTTAGGGTTTAGGGTTCAAGGGGTTTAGGGTTTAGGGTTTAGGGTTCAATGGATTTAGGGTTTAGTGTTCAATGGGCCAGTGAGGGAATTGTTGGGTTGACTCAGAAGGTACGTGCAGCCGGGACAAGCTAACCGAGCAGACGAGCCGAGCCAACGAGGCAAAACCATTGGCTCGAGTCCGCTCGCAGCCCTGGATTTTTTATTCGACTCAGACTTGACATGTGACTTTTTAATAGAGCCAGAGTTGAGCTTTGCATACCTTGAGCTGCTTTTTGAGGCACCTAGAAAATTAGATTCAGTTGAGCTTTGCATACCTTGAGAGCTGCCCCTCCACGTGGGCTCGGAAGAGAGCTCTGGCCACCACCTGAGGGGGTACTGCATTGTGTTGTGTTGTACACCTTCTCTCTCCCACCCTTCCCCCAGCCCCCACCCCTTCATGCCCCACTCCCCATACCTTGAGCTGCCCCTCCACATGTGCTCGGAAGAGAGCTCTAGCCACCACCTGAGGGGGTACTGCGCACCATACCTTCAACTCCCAACCTTTCCCCTGCACCCACCCCCTCATGCGAATTCACTCCCCGTACCTTGAGCTGACCCTCTACATGTGCTCGGAAGAGAGCTCTAGCCACCACCTGAGGGGGGGAGAAGGGCGGAGGAGAGGGAGAAATGCGGTTGTTTGGTTGAACTGGAAGTAGGCTGCTTGCCATTTGAATTAATCAGAAGAGTAAAAAAAAAACAAACAAAAAACCTTTTTTTTTTAAGGAAAGCAGGAGGCGATCGAGTCCAAATGGCAGGCGGTTGCTCCAGTAAAGCAAAGCAAAGCAGCGCAGGAGGAAAATCAAAGCAGAGCAGGAGGAGAAGCAAAGCAGAGCAGGAAGAAAAGAAAAGCAGATCACTACACACAGAGAGTCACCTTCTAGTTTCTCAAGGCGGTTAACCATCTGCATGTGCACACCACCTTAAACACGTATCTTATGTGTCACTTAAAACGAATAATCCTATAGCGAGTCACCTTATAAAGAGTCTTGTAATCGCCAGGAGGCACCTCAGCAGGCAGCAGCCCTTGGTCAAGGAGGTCAACCATCTGCATGCACACCACCTTGGTACCTGTCTGTCAGTCAACACACCAGAAAAGTATAACGACTCACCGAATAAAGGGTCTTGTAGTCGCCAGGTGCCACCTCAGCAGGCAGCAGCCCCTGGTCAAGGCGGTCAACCATCTGCATGTAGACCACAGCCTCGCTCACACTGAACAGTGTATTCAGAAACTCCCACCTGCCTTCATTCCTCAGATCCACCAATTCACGGCCGTACAGCTTGCTGTTGGGAGTAGTGGGAGCAGGAAAACACAGAACAGGAAAACAAGGACGGAAAGAGGGGTCAAGGTGGTCAACCATCTGCATGTAGACCACCGCCTTGCTCACACTGAAGAGCGTGTTGAGGAACTCCCACCTTCCCTCATTCCTCAGGCCTACCAATTCACGGCCGTACAGCTTGCTGTTGAGAGAGGTGGAACGGGAAAAAAAACACAGAACGGAAAACAAACAAGGAGGGAAAGGGGGGTCAAGGCGGTGAACCATCTGCTTCTGCATGTACACCACGGCCTTGCTTCTGCATGTACACCACGGCCTCGCTTCTGCATGTACACCTCGGCCTCGCTTCTGCATGTACACCTCGGCCTCGCTTCTGCATGTACACCACGGCCTCGCTTCTGCATGTACACCTCGGCCTCGCTTCTGCATGTACACCTCGGCCTCGCTTCTGCATGTACACCACGGCCTCGCTTCTGCATGTACACCTCGGCCTCGCTTCTGCATGTACACCACGGCCTCGCTCCTGCATGTACACCACGGCCTCGCTTCTGCATGTACACCACGGCCTCGCTTCTCAAACCCAAACCGGTCGCACTTCACCAGGTTGCCACTCGCCTTGTCCATCACCAACCCTCGGATCACCAGGTCCGGGTCGAACCTCAGCCCCTCGGTCGGGTACCCCTTGGCTCGGAGGTTCTCCATGGCGTAGTCGTAGGCTCGGCCCTCCCAGGCCTGTGGGGGAGGATAGGTTTGGAAAAGAGACAAAGGGGGCTGACTTGAATAGGCCCGGATAACTGGTGGGAGAAAAGGAGGGTGTAGTCTATGTCATATTTTAGGGTACTTGCCTTGCCTTCATGTAGCAATGGATGTCGTATCCAGCAGCAGGGGTACTTACGATGACGTTATAGTGAATCAGAGTGTTTGTTCATTCCATGTCATACTACGTTGATTGACACTATAGTGAATCAGAGTTAATACTCGATACAAGTGCTTGCTTACATTGACGTTATAGTGAATCAGAGTGTAGTCCATGTCATATCCGATGGTTGTGATCGATCGCAGGTTGAGAGTGCGGCTGCAGAAGATGCCTCGCGACGCCAGCCCATGTGGGAACTGGGGCTGCCAGGGATAAGCATCAAAAGGCGCAGAGACCAAGTGGTGTGTGTTACGTGCAGAGGCAGGGACAGGGAGGAATCTAAGGATTAAAAGGTTGAGAGTGCGGCTGCAGAAGATGCCGCGCGACGCCAGCCCATGGGGGAACTGGGGCTGGAGAGCAAAACAGAAAGAGGGGAAGGGAGAGGAGAGGGGAGGGACGGAGAGGAATGAGCAGAGACAGGGACACAGAGAGGAAAGCATAGAGCGGGAAGGGGTGAGGGGATGGAAAAAGAAAGGAGCGCAGCAGGGACGGGGACAGGGCGGAAGGTGGGATGGGCTAGAGGATGCAATAGAGGACATCGGAGGAATATGTCCAGTATCTTAAACTAGTGAGCCCCCGTCCAGGAGTATCTTAAACTAGTGAGCTCCCCTCTTGGCGACTTTTGAGACGTCTCAAAAGTGAAGGGAGATGCAATAGAGGATATCAGAGGAATATGTCCAGTATCTTAAACTAGTGAGCCCCCGTCCAGGAGTATCTTAAACTAGTGAGCCCCCGTCCAGGAGTATCTTAAACTAGTGAGCTCCCCTCTTGGCGACTTTTGAGACGTCTCAAAAGTGAAGGGAGATGCAATAGAGGATATCAGAGGAATATGTCCAGTATCTTAAACTAGTGAGCCCCCGTCCAGGAGTATCTTAAACTAGTGAGCTCCCCTCTTGGCGACTTTTGAGACGTCTCAAAAGTGAAGGGAGATGCAATAGAGGATATCAGAGGAATATGTCCAGTATCTTAAACTAGTGAGCCCCCGTCCAGGAGTATCTTAAACTAGTGAGCTCCCCTCTTGGCGACTTTTGAGACGTCTCAAAAGTGAAGGGAGATGCAATAGATGATATCAGAGGAATATGTCCAGTATCTTAAACTAGTGAGCCCCCGTCCTGGCGAGCTCTTCACACAACCATGCTTTCTACAGTCACTCTCTTGCAGTCACTCTAGCTTACTGACATGACCTGCCATCTGAATAACTCACAGTCACAATGACCCACAGTCACACCCAGCTGCTCCAGCAACAGCTCCGCCTCGTTAGCCTCCCCTCCGCCTTGGCGAGCTCCTCTTAGTCACACTGCTTTACAGTCAAATTGAGAGGTTGACATGACATACAGACAGCCACTCACAGGCACACCCAGTTGCTCCAGCAGCAACTCCGCCTCGTCCGCCTCTGCCTTGGCGAGCTCCTCATACAGTCACAATGCCTTACAGTCAAATAGCCTGAATGATATCACCCACAGTCACTCATAGCCAGTCACTCACAGGCACACCCAGTTGCTCCAGCAGCATCTCAGCCTCGTCAGCCTCCGCCTTGGCGAGCTCCTCTATGGGCCCCACCCACTGCCTTATAGCCACTCTGTTCTACAGACAGGACACATCGCCTGTGCCTGCCACGTCACTCATAGTCACAGCCACAGTCACCCACAGTCACAGTCACTCACAGGCACGCCCAGTTGCTCCAGCAACATCTCCGCCTCATCAGCCTCCGCCTTGGCGAGCTCCTCAATGGGTCCCACATCCGCACCCAAGTCCAGATCATGCCGCCCCTCATTCTCTGGTTGGGGAAGGGAAGGGGGGGGGGGGGGGGGGGGGGTGGGGGGGGGAATAGAGACTTCTGAGTTGACTCAAAAGACCTCCTCTATGGGCCCCACATCCGCACCCAAGTCCAGGTCAAGCCGCCCCTCATTCTCTGGTTGAAGAGAGAGGGGGCGGGGGAGGGGAGGGAATAGAGACTTTTGAGTCGACTCAAATGAGCTCCTCTATGGGCCCCACATCCGCACCCAAGTCCAGGTCAAGCCGCCCCTCATTCTCTGGTTGAAGAGAGAGGGGGCGGGGGAGGGGAGGGAATAGAGACTTTTGAGTCGACTCAAATGAGCTCCTCTATGGCCCCCACATCCGCACCCAAGTCCAGGTCAAGCCGCCCCTCATTCTCTGGTTGAAGAGAGAGGGGGCGGGGGAGGGGAGGGAATAGAGACTTTTGAGTCAACTCAAATGAGCTCCTCTATGGGCCCCACATCCGCACCCAAGTCCAGATCATGCCGCCCCTCATTCTCTGGTTGAAGAGAGAGGGGGCGGGGGAGGGGAGGGAATAGAGACTTTTGAGTCGACTCAAATGAGCTCCTCTATGGGCCCCACATCCGCACCCAAGTCCAGATCAAGCCGGCCCTCGTTCTCTGGTGGAGGGAGGGAGAGGGGGGGAAGAGTGTGGGCCGGGGTGGGGGGTAAGGGGGAAGGGGACATGGGAAAGGAATGGGAAGGAGAGACAACGGAGGTAAGAAGCCTCATCAGCCTCTGCCTTGGCGAGCTCCTCTATGGGTCCCACATCCGCACCCAAGTCCAGGTCAAGCCGCCCCTCATTCTCTGTTAAGGGAAAGGGGGGGAAGGGAGGGTGAAATAGAGAAGGGGAAGTATGTGGGGAAGGAACAGTCTCATCCGCCTCTGTCTTGGCGAGCTCCCCTATGGGACCCTCTTCCGCACTGATGTCCAAATCAAACGCCCGCTGCCCCTTGTTATCTGGTGGGGTAGAAAGGGAGGAAAAAGGGAAGAGAAAGAAGGCGGAAGGTTGCGGAGAGGAAGGGACAGTGCGCATGCATTGTCGTCTCCCTCTGGCTTGGCAAGCTCCTCTGATGTCCAGATCAAAGGCCCTCCGCCCCTCGTTCTTTCTTTAGGAGAGATGGGAGAAAGGGAGGGAAAGAATGGGGGAAAGGGAGGGGGGAGAATGGGGGAAAAGGGGGTAAGAGATGGAGAAGCGGTTGGTACCCAGCATCATCCCCCTCTGCCCTTATGAGCTCTACTATAGGTCCCCAATACGTGCCAATGTCAAGACCAGACAAAAGCCTTCCCCCTTCTTCCTCTTTTGACCTTCGGAGATTCCTTTATCTTGCTTACCGAGGTCCACAGGCAGATCGGGAAGCACCATATCCCCCTTAGTGCTCTCCCCGAGATAGTCTATCCTGCTGTCACTCGATGACCACACCACACGGAACACCTCCTCTCCTCCACTATCACTACCACTACCACTGTCACTCTCACTCCCGCTGAAGTCGCCTTCCCCCTCTGATCCGCTCCAAGCTTTCTCTCCCCCTCCTGCTCTTCCTCCTACTGTCACTTTCTTTCCCTTCACTGTTATCCCCCTTTTGGTCCCCTTCGTAACTGTCACGCTCGCCTGCGGCTCAGCGACAGCTACAGACGCAGCGTTTGCAGCTCCGATACTGCTCTCGTCCGCTCCTCCCTTCCCCAACTCCCCAGCCGCATCTCCCGCCGCGTTTCCCTGCGATTTCTGGAGAAGCTCGCTTTCGAGCAACGCAGCGGCGGCTGCGGCGCGCGCCTCGTCCACGTCACCGTCCGGAAGCGCCTCTTCCGAGACGCTCAATGCCATTTGGGCTGCCACTGTGGCGGGATCATCCGCCACGTCACGAGCTGCTGCTGCTTCGGAAGTTTCCCCTCCATCCGCGTTAGTAGCACTCGCAACCCGAACTCTCCTGCTTGCGGAAGCGCTAGAGGATGGAGCGAAAGGTTGTCGGTTAATGACGGAAACTGTGGAACGAAGCGCGTGACGGCGAGTTGTGAAAGTTATTCGTTGCAATGAACTCTGCTGCAGCAACGACGATGCTCTGATTGGCTCCGAAATACCCGGCGAAATTTCACGACATTTTGCTTGCAATATGGAAGAAGAAATGGTTGGAACGTTGCGACAAGGCAGGGTGATCAGGCGATCCATGGCGTCTTCGCTGGTCAGGCGAGTGAGTAATACCGAATAATCGGAAAGAACGGTCTGGATGAGAGGAAATCCCGTCTAGAGAAAACCCATGATCAGCACCACGAGCGGTTGTGTCAGTTCGATGAAAGATACGTCAAGCGGACACTGCAGCCAACAGAGCTAAGGACAGTGACTGACAGTTCACCGTCATTCCCAAATGTTTAAGCATTGTAAGTACAGTAAAGTGGGAACCATACATGCAACACTGGGAGCTCCAATTCTGATTGAAGCAATGCAATGCAGGAGAATCGAATACCCGTTTACACGAAGCTTTTTGCGGGGTCATGTCGTGAGATTACGGAAAATTGCTGCGGCGTGGAGGGTAACCTCACAGGCATCACTAAGAAAATTCTGTACATCAGAGACACTCCTGTTATGTGTAAATACTTTTGCAATTTGAATCAAGTTCTGGGTTTGAACTCATGTGACTAGCAAAAAGGGCCAGGGAGCGCGGGAATATCGAAAAAGAAGTACTACACTCGAATATTCGCTGCCCATTTTTCACAAGACAACCAATCGGCTGACTGCAACCGCGAGATTTGGCCAATCAGAAAGCAATACAATATTTTCACGATCAAAGCATCCATCCCCTATTTGACCGTTGGAGGTTGACCAAGGTCAAGAACACATTAGCCTTCGAAAATGTACCGCTTTTAATCTCGGCGTAACTATCCGTACCATTCACAACGCCGTACAGACCCTCCACACTGAGTGCAACTCTCAGGGCGCATTCTTAAGTTGGGATCCATCCAACGTTCCTCCACGCGCTTAGAAATGTTGACGTGGCATTAATTTACATTTGAAAGTAGCCCCACGCGGTTCGACGTTTGGACACCATGAGTCCAACCAGCCACGGTCGCAATGCCTGGCCTGTCCGTCAATGTGCGACCATAGAGATCGTGCCACGTTTGCTGGGTGTGGGACTTTGGTGCTAGACATGCCAGTTTCGTGCACATAGCCGTCAATACATTTCTTCCTCCCCACGAAATCCATTTCTGTGGTGCTTATGTGAACCTGCCAATATCACCCACGTTGACTTTATTTGACTACTGTGCAAAAAAATTACGAGAGGCGCAACCGTCAAGCTCGGCCGTTTAGGGTTTGCATGACGCTATTCGTCTAACACTTGGTATGCGAACTGGCGCCTCAATTTCATTGGGTATCTGACATGCGGCTCTGGCGACCTCTGTCGCCCGCCAAAATGAGGCTCGTTGGGCAGAGTGGGAGGTTTCCCACCAAAGACACCATCAGCCTCGTAAAAACCAGTATGGTGGGGAACTTTGATGGTGTCCCAACTTGAGACCGCCCTCTCAGGCTTGCTGCGCCACCGCCAGTGTTGGAGAATGCGGTATAAGGCAACCTAATTCCACAAGTGAACCATTCAATACGGGAAGTGCTTTTACAACCAAGAAACATTAGAAAACACAATAGACGTCATGCTCGGCCCTTCAGCTGTAACAGCGAATGAAGCAGGCAAGTCTGCAAAGCTCTGTGATGCAACCTGTGAAGCATCTTCAGTTGTAGACGTCCGCCACATCTCCATTGTACATGGACTTAGCGGGTCTAAGAGCCCAAACGCAGTAAATGTAAAAGTCAGGTCGTACGAGCTGTCTTGTTGGTTGACGATGAAGATCGAAATGAAGTGCTTGGTGGGGTGGTAAAAAGCAGCCACGCAATGATGACACCCGTTACTTGAATCAATCTGCAAAGGCAGACTGTCTCTGGGAGAACCTTGAGCGAGCTGCTTTAACACGTAAAACTTCTTCGTGAGGACGATATCCAGAGGCGGGGCTGTCTCGTTGCTCAACCGATTAAACGGGATCGTGAAGAGGCCCCATTTGATCGCATTTACGTTCGTCTCCGATGCGCCGTTGATCGCTTGCCAGTAAATCCAAGCGGATGCTCCCATGATGTTGATCGATTGAATGGCCGATCGAGCCAAGAACAACGCCACATCAATTTGACCTCCACCCACCCACATCGGACCCACCTCCGACACCCACACCTCCTTTCCTAACCCGATTGCCATCCTCGCCATACTCACATAGGTTTGCTCGACATACTGTCGAGGATCCGTGGTGTTGGAGGGTGGAGGCATTGAGTGACTCACCAAGCAAGCGACGTGCCCTAGCCTCTCCAGGTCTGTCCGTTAAGATCGGGAGCGATGGCGATGGTGGCGGGGCCTGCGGTTCGGCACACTTGCAGGATCTCGTTTGCCGGCGTCAGATTCGCTACAGGCACCTCCGTTAAGACTCTCGGAGCAGCAGTGTCTACACCCACACCTCCTTCAAGAGTCTCCCCTTCGTAGCCGCTCGTAAATGCAACACGGGCAGCATTTCGCGACGAAATTGTGCTTTCACGAGTAGTAGCTGCATACGCGGTAGAAGCTCCCTCGCTTCGGTTGCCTCTGGTGGTTTGAGTTGAAAGAGAGAACGGATGCACTGATGCGGCGCTAGCTGCTGAGGGTGGTCCGATAGGGTGGAGGAGGAGAAGGAGGAGGAGGAGATGGGGGAGGAGGTGGGGGAGGATGGGGCAAGAGAGACGGGGAAGGAAGCAGGGCGAACGGCGCAGATGATTAGTTTTAGTAGATTTTTGGTATTGTGGTGACGAGGAACTGTGTAACGCGGACGGCTTTAACGCGGATAGTGACATTGCCATGATCATGCACAGCCGTCGCTCGGATGAGGAAGGAAGCGGTGGTGGTGTGGATGCACGGGTCGCACGGGTCGCACGAGTCGCACGAGTCGCAGGAGTCGCAGGAGTCGCAGGGTCGTTGGTTGAGAGTCGCAATCGAGAATCGCCGGCTGAGAACGCGGCAGGCTATAAATCGCAAGTAGAAAATCCGCGACGGCAGAAAATCGATTGACCTAAACGCGGCTCTTAAAAAGCTCTGGGTTTGCTCGGCGGGGGCGACTCCGGGAAGTTGCGACAGCTGGACCGAGCGCATCGCCTTGTCTTGGACTACTCAGCTGGTTGTCAACAAGGTATGAGGGTTGTCGTCGCCAGTGACGCGTCACACGGCGTTCGAGAATCTACTTAGGATAGACTCGGAGTCTCAAGTTCTCAACGTTCGTTCAGAAGAGTCTCAACGCACGTTCAGAACGCGTCAGAACCTTTGATATATGCAATGCCTGAGAAGTGAGCATCCGACGGCTGGAAGAGAGAGCTCGCTTCCCCTCTGTCAGCTGGCTGGCTGGCTGGTGCTACCTAGTGGCGGACAGTAGTGACGCCTAGTGCTACCAATGCGCTCGAACTGTCGCGGTGAAAGTGGAAGTCACACACACGTCCGATGTCCCGCGTCAATTCCAAGCTAGACGGTGTCTTGGACCGTCCGATTCGACCAATCGACGGTCATCTAAAGGGACATTGCATCTGGTTCAGAAATCGGACTAGTCTGGTGTTTTCGCTTACGAGCACTAGCGAAGCCTTGAACCTAGTAACCTTGTCCACAAAACCCAAAACGAAGTTCACACTGGGGGAAAAGTAACTTCGTCAGGCAGGATTCCACAGTAGCCCACCATGATGGTCGGCAGCACCTGTGTCCCCAACAGGATCCCGCAACAATTTTGTTCCAGGTTTTCGGCCAGATACCTCCTTGCGTTTTCAAAGGGTTCCCTCATATTGTTACGCGTGCAATGGAACAAAGTAGGAGCTAGAGTGTCAAACGAGTACAAAGTATGAGCGAAGGCATGAGCGAATACTTACACGCGAAACATGCTAACGGTAACGCGGTGCGTGCGAGCTAGCTAGTGCTATGCTGGCAGCGAGGTTCGAGCTAGTCCCGAAGCGTAGGCCGAATCGGTTGGGCCAGCAGTGCGAGGTTTGGTGAAACAGTGCGCGCGAAGTTGGCGAAGCCCCGTTAGCAATAACGGGCGAACAACGGCTGCTGCTGTACGCGATGTTGATGGCCACGATAAGGAATGTCGAGAAAATTCTTCACACTACCCCCCCCCCCCCCCCCCCCCCCCCCCAATCAAGAAGCCCCCTCCGCTACGCGAGTGCGTGTATATCGCGGAAACCCCGGCTCCTCAAGTACACTTGCAGGGCAGGGTGGTTTTCAATGTTGGCCAGGGGCACCCGGCTATCCTCAGTTGGCGTGCGGTTCTTCCAGCGAACGAGGAACTCGATCCTCTTGATGCCTGTGGGGTGTCGAATTCGATGGCTCACAATCTTTTCGGGCTCAATGATCGGCTCCGATGCAGGGCGAGTCATAGATGGTGGGCGGTGACGAGGCAATTGGCTCGTTGTTGGGAGGGCGAAGCAGGCTGATGTGGAATGATGGGCTGATGTACCAATCTGTCGGTAACAGTAAATGGAAGGTAATTGGGGTGATCATGTGGCTGATTTGGAATGGTCCACAATAGCGTGGTCGTAATTTCGGTACGACGGGCAGTCTTAAGTTTTGTGTGTCGAGCAGTATGTAATCCCCGGACTGGTACGTGACTGGGCGGCGGTGGCGGTCAGCATTTCGTTTTGCGATGACGTTGGCTTTTTTTATTGCTTATGCGGCTCTGGTGCGGGCAGCTTGTAGAATCTCGGCGAATTGCTGTGTGCGTAGCGTTGGGTTGTCCGGACTTGACGTCATGGGCACCGTTGGGTTTTGCCCGTAGTTTAGGTAA